GCACCCCGCATAAACCCCGCCCCTCTCCCGCCCCGCCCCCGGCATAAACCCCGCCCCTCTTTTGTTCTCCACAGACCGGTTTGCAAAACAGTAAAAGGACCAGTACAGCATGTCGCGACTCAGGGGGGGTTCATAAGTCTGATCATTTCCATTTTTTCATATGTACAAATATATGAATATATATATATCAGAATGTACAAACGTAGGGGGTCGATAAAAAGGTATGGCTTGAAAATCTATTTTTTTTAGGATAGCCCTGAAGGGCAGCCCATTGTCCTGAATCGAGCAGTTCAGCACCCTATGGGTACGCATTAAGCGTGCAACACTCTGGGGGGGTCCTGCCCATGGGACAGTTATCCCCGTAGGATCCTGTCAAGGTCTATGAAGTATTTATATGCCGTTGCTCTCATTGCCTTGGGTTAATCGTTTCGGATGACAGCTTGTTGATTTATTTTAGGTTCCAAAAATGGCGGCTTCACATTGTACGCGTTCTTGCCTTCTAACACATTTCCTTGCACTATATTACTGAGTCATTTATATCCATCGCTCAGATCTCACTGAAGGCAACACCTAAGGAGAAATTACTAGCAAAAAAAAACCAGGGCAGATATGTGGTAACCATGGCAACGTGAACTTTGATTTAGCCCAGGTGGTCGTGATACAGTTGTGTTGTTATTTTTCTGTAAGAATAATTTCAAATTTAAATTGGTTGCCAGAGTCCAGTCTCAGAAACGCTCATTTGTTTCCAGCGAGGGCTCCTTCGGGGAGGGGCACAGGACCACCATGAGTTTGTTAACATCAGTAATCCCTCACAGAAGAACAGACCGTGCAGAGAGACACATTCTAGCTTAATGCTAACGATGCGGAAATTGCTAACATATTTTGTTTCTGCCCCAGGTTGACGGCCTTTTCCTGTTCCTTCCCTGGCATCTCCACGTTTTTATCGCATGTGTGAAACCTTCATGTATTGCAGCGTTTGCATATGTAAATGCTCTGCTCGCTTCACTCGGTAACGGCCTGCGACCGGCTGCAGGTCTGCACTGAAGGCGCATGTCTGTGTCGACACCCCCTGACCCCGCAGATCTGCACGCCCGACCTGGTGCTGTTCCTCGCCTGCGCAAACAGCCGCCTGAAGGAGCGTCTGGAGAAGCGGGCAGAGCAGCAGGGCCGCCCAGACGACAACCCCAAGGCTACCGAGCGCCGGCTGGCCAACTTCAAGCAGAACGCCATCCCACTGGTCAAGTACTTCCAGGAGAAAGACCTCATCATCACGGTGAGTCTCAGCTGGCGGGGACCGGACTGGCATGCAGACAGACTTACTCTGATTGGCCTTCGGCCTTTAGGAGACTTACTCTGACTGACCTTTGGCCTTTGGGAGACTTACTCTGATTGGCTTTCGGCCTTTAGGAGACTTACTCTGACTGACCTTTGGCCTTTGGGAGACTTACTCTGATTGGCCTTCGGCCTTTGGGAGACTTACTCTGATTGGTCTTTGGGGGACTTACTCTGATTGGCTTTTGATTTATTCTGGCTGGCTTTCTGCTAGAATAGGTCAGTCAGAGTTTGGAAATACTCATCTTGTGTGATACCTGGACAGACCTGCCATTACTGAAATGAGGAGCAAAGTGATCAGACAGCAGTGTTTCAGCCTAACGCACGTCATTAATAAACAATGCCTTTGCTTTATTGTCTGCTCGTCAGGGCTACATGATGTGACAAACCTGGGATTTCCAGCCAGGTGTGCTCTCCTTAGGATGGGGGGTGTCATCTGGGCTCATGCCACGACAGAGTGCGCTGGGTAGCGTCTGAGAGTGTACAGGCAGCCATCTTGATTGACAGTTAAGCGTTAGGCGTGTCTCTCCTGGGAAGAGCTGCATGGGGTTGGTCCGTAACTGCGGTCTCCGGCAGTCACTGTGCCTGTATCGCGCCACCTGCAATGCAGAAAGGCAGCAAACGCAACATGTGCCATAAAAGAGTCAAATACAGTGGTACCTCGGTTCTCGAACTTAATCCGTTCCGGACTCTGGATTGAATCCTAAAAAGTTTGAGTTCTGATCAAATTTTTCCCATAAGAAATAATGGAAAACCAATTAATTGGTTCCCAGCCCCCAAAAATTACACCTAAATATGTTTTTTTTTTTAGCATTTAAATACAAAATGAACAGGATAAAACAAGAAGAGCATTTTTTTCTTGATGGCTTCCAAAACGATAAAGATCTTATCCCAACATTACCCTTGTCCTGCCCCGATCGTCCGCTCCTTCCGTGTGCCACGCCCCCTCGTTAAACTCGTGTGGGATCCCCATGTGATCAGCTGTTTCTGGTTGTTGTTAGTCCTCTATATTAAGTCCGTGTTTCAGTTTGTTTCCCCAGTCCGGTCATTGGGTGCATTCGACTTGCTTACAGCGCTGGCTTAAAGCAACGCATTCTGATCCTGACGCAATGCATTACAGTTAGATGCATTGCGACCTCTCACCTGGCTGCACAAACTGGAACCGCCTCCGTGACGACACACCTTTGCCCTTATTGGCTGAAGAGTTTAGTTACACGCATGACGTTTGTATCCCAGGCAGTTCCGATGCGTAATCTGCTATTTCTCCCGAATATCACGTAAAGCAGTGAGAACTGGTTTTCAGTTCATTTACCTGGTAAAATAAAGTTTAAATAAATTACATAAATGCTCTAATAGTACACGTAAGTTAGTGGTTTATTTATTGTTAGTTACTGTAATGTTGCGCTGCTTTATTTGGTTAATTGTCCAGTCTGTGAAGAAGGCATTCAAGTAAGAATTGCATTGTAGTATGACTCATTTCCTGGCGCGTACAATTTATATTAGGTCAACGTTAATGGTTCGACTTCTGATATTCAGATCGAGTTCTAGGTCAAACTGGTTTGTTCGACTTTCAAGAAATTCGAGTTCTAGTTCGAGAACCGAGGTACCACTATCTGTATTAACCAGCCCCGGGTTCAAATTCAGATCCATTTAGTAAGCGGCCTCGGTTGGCTTAGGAAGGGTTTCGTTTTTTTATCTGCGCCGTTGAGGTGGGGGGGGGGTCTCCCTGCTGCAGCCCACGCCTAGCTTGCCGGGGGGGCGTTTTTCCATCTGTCCATGACTCAGACTGTACAATTGGACAGGCCCCAGTGCCTGGATCCAAAAATTCACGCCAAGACCATTCTGAACTTGGACCCTGCCCCTCGAGGGCAGGATTTAAGCATCCTGGCCTTTTTATTGAGTACCTGCCATCGAGTACCTGATCTGGACCAGTGTTAATTTTGTTAATGAAACATTTTCGTCATCATCAACGACCTTTATTTTCATACTAAAACAAGACTAAATAAAAATGATTTTGCGAGGCCTAAGACTATGATGAAGTGTATTGACACTTTCATCAACGATTAAAAACAAGACGAAAATGTTTGCCAGTTACAATCAGAACTAATGTAGTTCGCGTAAGGCAGGGGTATTCAACTACAATTTAAAGAGGTCAAGTTAGAGAAAATTTCTTGAACCAATTATAGGTCCGGAAGGTCCTAATGTCTAACTATTTAGTGTGATATATATTTAAGTAGCCTGTTAGTTGTACCAACATTGCATGTAATCATAACTTACTGTCAAATCAAATGCACAATTCAAAAACTTTTTGACAATATTTATTGTCACGTGACATAGAGCTGAACGTATATGTACGACTGCCGGTATGAATAATGTTTTCTCATTTGTTAAATAAAAGTAGGGCTGCATTTCAAAATAAGAGAAAAAAAATGAAAATTGTGCATGTTTGAATAAAGTGCTTAACTTAAACTGTAAAACCGTAATTCAGTCGTGTCTATGTCATTTTATTGTATATTTATATTATATTTAAGTATTGGTTTCGATAATCTCACACCGGTAATAAAATTAAAGTCTCGTTTTAATATAAATGTATACGAACTTATCACTTCAATCGCCATTAGAGTAGGATATGAGCGGTCATATTATTTTGAAAAGATATAAAACGTGACGTGTTTTTCCTCATATTCGTTTTATATTTGTCGGAGTAACAACGCAAACGGAATGACGAGCCGTTTCAGGCGAAAACAGCGCATTTTACTTTTTATTTCAAATATAACGCGGGGTTGCCAACTTCGGCCAGCTGGCTGGAGTGAGATTGTCAGTTCGAGTTGAGGGGACACACATGTAACTGTTCTTACCTTGTAAATAGTCTGCTTCTGTATTTAACCGTGTAAATACTCCTTTGATGTAGCTAATTTTAGGTTTATAATGGAATAATATAGATTTGCCGTAAGATTTCCTGCGTGTCAGAAAGCGTGTGTCATGCCAGATGCTTGAGATTTAGCAACCCTAAAAACTTACATTTTTTGTTTCACCTGAGTTGATTTATATAACAGATAACATTACTTAATACAGTAAAAAAAAAAAAAAAAACAGAATCTTCAACGAACATGAAATCACCTGAAAGAGGGGAGAGTTGATTTTTGGCTCTACACACTAATAGAATTGGAGCCTTGAGGTAATTATTTTGATGCTGAAAATGCTAACATACAATGGTTGTACTTCCTGCTACTGCTTGGTAGCCGTTGAAAAGTACGTTTTCAGTGTTCGCAATTTTTTTTTCTTGTTAATGGGTATAAATCCCTGAGACCGTTATTGGTCTTTTTCTTTGAACATATTTGAGAATGAATTGAGAATTGAGGTGAAACATTTAACAGCGAACAATAGCAAATAAAAATATTACAAATATTTATTTTAATATTTTCATTTTAATATTCAGAAAGAGCAGGCCTGGTGGCATTACAGCACTTTTTCTTCAAAGTGATTTTATTTTTGCACTAATGGCACTACTGATTTTACAGTACTCAGTTTCCGGGTAAATAAAAACGTTTGTGTTTCAAATAAGAGTGAAATCTGTGTATATGTGTACTGCACAGTCAGACCTTAACACCATTCCTTAACATTGGTTTAATTTCATCTTGAACATAATGACTTTCAGAAATCGAAGGGAAACTTTAAACATTACACTTTGCACTTTTAATTTTAGTTGACTAAATCAACTGTAGTTTTAGTCAACTATAATCTTACATTTAGTTGACTAAAACTAGACTAAAACTAAAATAATTTAGATGACTAAATTATGACTGAAACTAAATTACATTTTAGTCAAAAGACCATGACTAAAACTAAATAAAAATTTGCTGTCAAAATTAACACTGCTCTACAAGACACCGTTTCATGGAAAATTCCAGCTTTCGGGCAAAGCATGGGACTGAAGTTGGGCTGTCACTGGCTGTATTTTCAAAATGCCTGCTTGTTGCTGGAGTCACTGGATTATATTCTGTTTGTTTTTAAGAACCCTACCTGCACAATTAGACAGAAGGTGGGATTCGAACCCCAAACCCATTGGTGCTATACCATAGAACATTAATTTTCACAGTCACTCAGATGCTTCTCAAGCCGTTTGCCTTAATAAATAGGTGTTACATTTGTGTGCTGTAATCTGTCTCCCTGTGGGCTGGTTTCTCTGCTTGTCCATAAGTTGCCCGGTTGCTCATGACCTTGATCTCCATCCATTCTGAGTGTGATCGCTGGCTCCCTTTCCTCAGACATGTCTGTAAATTGGCCTGGCATCTTTCATGAAGCCCTGAACACCATGATGGCCCAGGAGCAATGAATACAGAAATAAATGAAGAGAGAGACACATCGCAGCAAGGCGGAGGGATGCAGCAGTACATTTCGTCCTGCTGCCATTTCCTGATACCGATCCATTCCCAGGTCTCAGTGCAATAATTCCCAACTAAATGTCCCCTCAGGCCAATGTTGACTATGGTTACTCAGTGAGCTGCCTGACCTCGCTCTCCGTCCGCTTTCACCGGGGGGGGGTTTACCTGTATCAGGTGTGTGTCCCCTTTGATTCCTACCATCTGGCTGGGTTCCAGATTCACGCCTCTGGGCTTCAGCTCACAAAAGCTGCAGGAGGAGAGCGCAGACAGCTTTCATATAGGCTCATGAACTTTTAATAATGACCCTGAAGCTTTAAAAAGTGAATAAACAGCAGTTTTCTGACATGACCGGTTCTGCCCATGCGGGTTTTACACAGTTAAGAATGTGATAATTATTTCATTTATCATTTTTCTAAGGTCCCCTTTGTCAATGTGCCAGATCGCCGGACCCCTCCAGTAAGCTCTATCCATACGCTGAGGCCTGGGGGGGGCAGATCTGTACTGATTTACTTTGCTAAAGGTCACTGTTTGAATAAGCCCTCAGATGCTGGCTGTC